GGGGTGGGGAGGGAAATATCTCTTTGGTTGTGGGGTCGGATTGTAGGTGGCAGAAGTGGTGGAGAATGATACATTGGATATGAAGCTTGGTGGAGTGATATGTGAGGACAAGGGGGATTTTGTCTTTGTTTCTGTTGAGGGGGAGACGATGTGAGGGCAGAGATACAGAAACGCCCCATCTTGGGAGCAGTTGTGGTGGAGGCAGCAGAATTAGGAGTAGGGGATTGCATTCTTGCTCCCAATGTGGCCTCCTCTGCATCGGTGAGACCAAGCGAAGGCTCGGAGACTGTTTTGTAGAGTACCTACACTCTGTTCGTGACAAATGACAACACCTTCCAGTTGCAAACCATTTTAACTCCCCCTCCCACTCCCTGGATGACATGTCCATCCGGGACCTCCTCCAGTGTGACAATGACCCCACCCACAAATTGGAGGAGCAGCACCTCATATTCCACCTCGGGAGCCTACAGCCCAATGGCCTAAATGTGGATTTTACCAGTTTCAAAATCTCCCCACCCTCGGCCTCATCCCATGACCAACCCGCCCTCTCATTCCAGCCTCCTTGACCTGACAAAACCTGTCCCATCTTTCCCACCTATCCGCTCCTCCCACCTCACTGACCAATCCCCACCACTGTCTACCTGCACTCACCTATCACCATCCCACCTACCTTCCCCAGACCCTCCCCCCTCCCCCATTTCTGAAGAAGGGTCCCAACCCGAAACATCAGCTTTCCTGCTCCTCAGATGCTGCCCGGCCTGCTGTGCTCCTCCAGCTCCACACTGTGTTATCTCTGATTCCAGCATCGGCAGTTCTCACTATCTCTGAGTAAATGGGTGTTATTGGTCAGGGACAGAACATGACATTTTTTTTTTAATTTCCACATTCCAAAGAGCTCTGCTACCATCAACAACATGGTGTAAGTAATCCATTCCATTTCAGACAGTACCGTGTTTCTGTTCACAGCTGTAGAGTTGGACAACACGCTACTTTGTAACTCATATAACTTGTCTTTGTTTGCTCTCAGATTCTCTGCATGCCGCTTTTTTTCTTCCAGGTGGTCTTTAGTGAGGAAGTCTCACGTTCCGCCATTTGGATATCCAGGAATAAACTCACACCGCCCCCACCCCTTTCCCCAGGGCTTTCAAATTCTTCTCATTGTAAAGTGCAGGACTAGCACAGACCCTCAGAGCCGACTGACGCAGACATATTTAGGCATTCGATCAGTCGGCAACCCAGGATTCCTGCACCCAAATGCTTTACTGTGCCTGCCTGTACGGCAGGGACCTCAGCTCCACTGTAACGAATGCAAAAAGTCCTGCAGGCAGACAATCTGTAATACACCAGAGGCCAAGAACATGACTGTTCACCTCCAAGGTTCATACACCTGGTACGGACGCACCAGTAGCAAAATGTTGCTGTTGAAGTATTATTCTGGCCTCTCCAGGTTACCTTTGTGCCCATACACTTATCTGGTAACTACTTTTCTATGTAAATAATTGGAAAGACTGCATTTACAGCGCATAGAGATGAACCAATGGAAATATTACAATGGTAGCCTACAAGCCTCAACACACTCCCTACCCTAAGTTATATTACTGCACCAAAAGTGGGCACATGCGAAAACAAAATCCTGTTGCTCTAGAATCTACTGTCCCAGTGAGTATTACATAATAAATAGCAAGATCATGTACACATTCATTTAGGCATTATCACCACATTCGCTTATGTAGCACATGCCACAGCAGATATACCTGCTGAAATGTTGTAGATTCTGTTCATACATTTTTTTAATTAAATCGAAAAAGAAATGTGGGATCCACCTCCAGCAGAGGCATTGGGCAAATCCCACAGTAATTCTACTCCTCTCACAACAATATCACAGTTAGAATCAAATTTAGCTAAATGAATCGAAGCATAAACCAGATTATGGTACTATCGTTAAAAAACCGAAAGAACTGCGGGTGCTGTAAGTCAGGTACAAAAACAGAAATTGCTGGAAAAGTTCAGCAGGTTTGGCAGCATCTGTGAAGAAAAAAATCAGAGCTAAAGTTTCAGGTCCGGTGACCCTTCCTCAGAACTGTGATTGTTACTCATCACCTTGGCCTTGCATTTAAATTGCACCTTTACATAGTAAAGCATCCCAGAAATCCAGCATTCAAAACAACAGTCAGTCATTAAACCAACCCCAAAAACATGACAGCTTGACTTTCAAACATTGTCTCATCTGGGTAAACCTAAATATTTATGAAGTGCATGAATGCCCTCTGGTGGTAATCAGGTGAATCTCAAACTGTATTTGAGGATAAGTTAAAAAGCTGAAAATGAGAGAAACAATTTGACAAATCAATTAATCTCAAAAGGATAATATCTTCCAATTTTGAAAAATTCCCACTGACAAATTAAAGCCTAATTAAAAAGAGAATAATATTGAGAATAGGGAAAGAGAATAAAATATCTATCGGCATGAATTCTGGGCACCAGCCCATGTATAATTTTTCCACTTCAAGATTTAATTTCATTCCCACAGGTAGGGTTACTGTGCAGACACTCCCATTACAGCATCCACCTCAGATACAGGAGTTCAAACAAGCCTTAAGCACTAATAGAAGCAGAGAGTCTGTTTCCCCAGGACAGGCAGATAGGATTCCCCATAATGATTGGGTTGGTAAATGCAATGCATACTATTATATCAGATCTTTGCTAAGTTGCCTACTTTCAGCTTGGTCATCAGTTGCAAAGTGAGGGGTCGATAAGCAATTTCTGACACAAACCAAGCAAAGGAATTTAGTTTAGATGCATGTGACCATCTGGACCTTTCAGCCTGTACCTTATCATAGTGCAATTTCAGTACATCATCTCCCCCTCAACCCCAACCACCCCACCAACAGGGCAGAGGTCAGAGAAACAAAAATGTCAACCTGAAAACATCCTCTCTAACCTCCAAATATAATCGAATACAAAAGCCCCATAATAAGTTAGACACACATCTCATAGTACCCACTTAATTTCTACATGAGGCCTCTTCTGGAGTACTGTGTCCAGTTCTGGAGACCCTGTTACAGAAAGAATATTATTAAGCTAGAGATTGTTCAGAAGAGGTTTACCAGGATCTTGCCAGGTATGGCAGGTTTGAGTTATAAAGAAAGGTTGGACAAGCTGGCAATTTTTTTTTCCACTGGAGTGTAGAAGGTCAAGGGGCGACCTGAAAGAAGTTTATAAAATCGTGAGGGGTATAGATAGGGTTAATGGTAGGTGTCTTTTCCTTAGGGGGATTTCAAGACTGGGTGGCATACTTTTAAGGTGAGAGGAGAGATTTAAAAAGAAATGAGGGGCAAATTTCTATTACAGAAAGTGTTTTGTGTGTGGAATGAACTTCCTGAGGAAGTGGTGAATGCAGGCACAATTACAACATTTAAGAGACACTTAGGTGAGTATAGGAATAGTTTCGAGGGACAGGATCCAGGAGCAGTAGGTTGGGCTAGTTTAGTTAGGTATTATGTTTGGCATGGACTGGTTTAACTGAGGTAACAAGGTGTAGAGCTGGATGAACACAGCAGGCCAAGCAGCATCATAGGAGCAGGAAAGCTGACGTTTCAGGCCTAGACTCTTCTTCAGAAAGTTCCTATGACGCTGCTTGGCTGCTGTGTTCATCCAGCTCTACACCTTGTTATCTCAGATCCTATGATGCTGCTTGGCCTGCTGTGTTCATCCAGCTCTACACCTTGTTATCTCAGATTCTCCAGCATCTGCAGTTCCTACTATCTCTGGTTTAACTGAGGCGTCTGTTCCTGTGCTGTATGAGTCGGATGTAGTTCTCCTGGCCATGTCAGGGGTTAATTCTTTTGAATCTTTACAGCAAATGCACTGAAATACAGAAAACATTGCACCTACTCCCCTGCAGGGTTTGCACATTCTTGGTGTATAGTCTACCCAATCTGTAAATATATTAAACTCCACCTCAATTAAAGCCCACATATCAAGCATGAATTGCAGAAAACTAATCTGTAAGTATAGCAGGAATAAGGAAGGCAAATGGAATTTTGACAATTATTGCTAAAGGAAGAGAGTATAAAAGTAGGGAAGTGATGCTGCAACTGTAGAAGGCATTAGTAAGACTGCACCTGGACTATTGCATACAATTTTAGTCCTCTTACTTGAAAGATGTATTTGCATTGGAGATAGTTCACAGGAGGTTCATCAGATTGATCCCAAAAGGAGGGGTTTGTCTTATGACATGAGATGGAATAGTTTAGGCCTATACTATCTAAAGTTTAGATGAGAGGAGATCTAATTTCGGTATATATGATGCTAAATGGGATTGACAAAGCAGACATAGAGAGGATGTTTGCCCATGTGGGGCAATCTGAGAGGTCATATTTTTAGAATGTGGTAGTAGATTGAAAACAGACATGAGGAGAAATTACTTCTCTCAAAGGGTCGTCAATCTGTGGAATTCACTGCCCTAGAGCGTGGTGGATGCTGGGACATTGAGTCCCTGTAAATTTAAGGAAATAAGACAGAGTTTTAATTAGTAATGGGTTGAAGGGTTATGGGGAGTGAGCAGCAAAGTGGAGTCGAGGTCGAGATGAGATCAGCTACTATCTTATCAAATGACGGAGAAGGCTCAGGGCTGAGTTACCTAATGCTGCTCTTAGTTATGAATGTATGGATAACTCCAACATTCTCATCCAGAATGACCAGTGTCAATAAAAAAATTCTGGTTACAAACATATCAGTTCTTTATCTGGTCAAAAGCCTGCCTCTGTTCTTAGAATAATCATTATTTAATAGCTAGACTTCACACATCCAAAGTACCCTTCTGGAAGTCTACAACAGCTTGTGGGGAAATAGCTGGTCAGTATTAATATACCCATGAAGATCAGAACCAGACTTTACTGGCACATTTAAAACTACATCCTCCGCATAACTTGCATTTGTAAGAGAGAAAATGAAATAAATCCTTCAAAAAATGAACAAGGTATCAGACAGAGGTAACCAGTGAATATTAACTTTAATAATAGTTTATAAGTGAAAAAAAAATAACCTAGATATATCTGATTATATAAAATGAGGCAGAGAAATTTAAATGTGCTGCATTAAAAAAAATTAGCAGACATACAACCAAATAAGGAAAGCAGCAAGAATGATGGCTGAAAAGGTATGTTACTCAGGAATGAAGAACTAAAGGACAGAGAAAATCTCAAGCTAAATTTAACAAAAAGGATAACATCTTCACGTTTGCAGAAGCACATCTGCTGAATGGACTGATACTTGGCACATTAATTGTAGGTACATTTGTAAATAGCGACACAATTAAATATAATGTAGCAAGAGGTGTACAAACAATGGAATAAGGGAGGAGGCAAAGATCTCATTTATCTCAATTTGTCAGTGAAATTACAGAATTTGATCCAAGCTAATTACATTTTTTTGCCATCCAACACACAATAACTTCATATTTGCTAAATGTTCGGGATCTGGTAAAATAAATTCTAAAGGCTAACATGAAATAGTGAAGGTACATACAACCTAACCCTATTCATTCCACATTGATGTTACCTAATCCACTCATTCCACCAAGGCAACATAATTCCTCAATGCTTCAATTCTGTTACTGATCAAAGGCTAACCAATACAGTATTACTTAAATCCCAACTGAGCCTGAATTGTACCATATATCCTGTTCGGCTCTGCAAAGCTAACGTGAACATGAATGCTTACATGGAGCTACACACATCAATACAGTCCAGGACTGGACTTTACAATTAATTACACTATTCCAATTAAATTCTATAAAATATAAATTACATACAAGTTACATGTTTTGTCTCTGATATCAAGTTGAGGAATTTTTCAATTAAAAGAATAAAGGCTTCAAAAAAAAAAATCAGATTTTGACATTGCTTTAAATTACAAAAGTGATATCTTTTACTAACATTTTGTACTAGAGATCTTCAGGCAAACAGTTGGAGACATTGGTGAATATATACTATGAAAATCTTAATACATAGGACAAATAAGTTGTGAAAAACACAAACATTGATAAGGCATTTTATATCAAATGGCAATGAATGTGGAAGGGAAAATTACAGAAATCATAGATTCAATGTGCTTGAAATGAAATCTCAGACATGGTGAAAACTTATTGCAATATCCCATTATAACAAAACAGGGTAACAGAGCACTTCATCAGGTCCAAATATGATGCTTTTAGACCTTTCCAATGCTTGTAACTCATCTGATACAGTCAGCAAACACGCTATTTGTTTGCGACAGCTGAAAGCTGATCCCGAATTCGACCGAGTCCATCCAACATTGTATCCAGTTTTTCTTTACTTAATTCAAGAGAGACAGTAGATATGATGGGTCCACCTTGGCAGGCGCTGACATCATCCTGAATCTGCAAGAAGCACACTGCAGTTAGAAAAGAGATAGTAAGAACTGCCAATGCTGCAGTCAGAGATAACACAGTGTGGAGCTGGAGGAACACAGCAGGCCAGGCAGCATCAAAGGAGAAGGAAAGCTGACGTTTCGGATGGGGACTTTTTTTCTGAAGAAGGGTCCCGACCCAAAACATCAGCTTTCCTGCTCCTCTGATGCTGCCTGGCCTGCTGTGTTCCTCCAGGTCCACACTGTGTTATATCTGCAGTTAGCAAAGCTAATTTTGATAAATGCAAATTGCAGTGACATTATGAGTGATTAAATTTTACTTGCAGTTTAATTTTAGTCACAAGCAGAGTTAAATTTAACAAGGGGATCACTCTACAGTTTTGCTGAATCCCAATAGCAGGTAACTACTTTTCCAAGAGACTGCACACTTACATGAGGTTGTCAACTTGTCAAACACTAAGTGATTTTTACTTGCACAAATTTGCTGCTTTCTCTTTCCAATATCAGTTTATGGACTATTCTCGGAGTTGACAAGTGGATAGCCAGGAATGTTATCAGTTTGAATTGGAATTCTATCTGAGAGAGAAAGAGGAAGGGTTTGCTCCATTAACATTGTGTTTGTTAGATGCAAATAGCAAGAGGTTTCTTCCAGTGGGATTCAGAGATGGTTATTTATATTAAATCACAGTAACCTTTCCCTACTCCAGACTGCATCGAAATAATTTCATGAGCTCACAGTAATTTAACTTTTATTTGACAACTCTGTGTTGGTGCATATACATTCTGAGGCAAACAGAGACAGTCTGTCTTATTTAGACAGCTGCAACTATCCAAGATGACTGTCAGGAACTGCAGCTTTAAATTTCGACATACCTAAAAAGTAACATTCTATACGCAGCTAATTCAGAACAAGAAAAGTTACTGAATACAATTTCCTGATAATAATTATTCTTCTACATATTTACAACTGCTGGCTCAAAGCTATTAATCTTGCATTCATGCCACCACACATCAAGAATGAGAAATGCTCTTTCACCTAAAAAAAAACACATTCCCACAACAAATTGAAGCATTAACAGGAATTTACTTGCTCCCTGAAATCTATTTTAAATTATGACCGGATCGTCTTGTTGCAAGTTCTGCATTTTTATAGGAATCTTTTTTTTTTGTATCAATATTTACAGGTTTAACAGAGGAATATTTTCACATACCATTCATGCCTGTTAATATTTTCCACCAGAAAATATTGAAAGCAAAAGGCTGCACCATGAGATCAAAACAATCTAAACTGACTGCAAACTGTAACTAATCAGTCTGATTTTGCCATCTCCAAAGTATTCACTTTACTGATAGCTAAAAGATATCCTCAGCAAACCGTTGTCCTATCCTATTATGCTATGTAGGCAAGGAATGATTGGCTACATGATTACAAGGCAACACTGTCACCATATATCACCAGTATTGTAGGGAAAGATCAAATTTGCCCAGTTAAAATTGTACGCATCCCTGGGCGATGAGCGTGACTCTCACTGGTCAACAGGCTCAATCCCATTTGAAATAAAAACCAAAAGAACTGCGGATGCTGTAAATCAGGAACAAAAACAAAGTTGCTGGAAAAGCTCAGCATGACTGGCAGCATCTGTGAAGAATAAAAAAATGATTTTATAAAGATGATTTCTCTGCACTGTCACAATGTTACAATCACGAATCAGACAGTAATACCTTCATCTGGAGCAGACACGTGGGCACTGCCATTCTGTTGATGTTGTCAGAGGATGTTTTGATATCTACTCTCCAATCCATGTCAGTGAGTTGAGGTAAGGAAACTAGGGGAAGAGAAAGAAGCAAAGTCTAAAACAATTAAGAACCAGCACTCTTAAGATAATGATAACTAATGGGGAAGAAATTTACATCTTACAAATCTTATCACATGCAATGGATACATCTCAGAAAATACACTAACAGAAATGGATTGAAGCAGGAACTAAACAACGTTCCACTTACTCTGGTTTGCCAGTGCTTCATTCCGCCAGGCAGCTCTGAAACAGACATTGGAAATGAACTTTTAGGGGAATAGACACCACGTCACGTCACCTCACCAAATTACCACAACATCTGAGACAGCATCATTTCAGATCATGATAGCGCAGCAAAAAGGTGGAATTGTGCATTATCTTAATTCAGCCTTTTTTTTCAGGTTGGTAGTCTTGCAGTTCCTGCTTGCAGACACACACACCAATTCTCGTGATCCCGCAGTGCACAGAGATTCTGTCCCAACTCTCTCAAATGTTCACAAGGCATGAAGTGCCCAGTTTTACACATAAAAACTAAAACAGCTGTCCAAATTCCTGTACTACTGTCCCGATTTGACACTGAGCCACATAAGGAGATATTGGGATGGGTAGCCAAAAGCCTCCAAGAGGTGTGTTTTAAAGGAGGGAAAGGTAGGAAGGAAAGGTTTAGGGAGTTCCAGAACTTAGGTCCTAGATATGACAGTTGATGGTAGACCTATTAAAATCAGGGACGGAAAAGAGGTCAATATTGGTGGAATGTAGACATTCTGAAGGCAGACGGAAGATAGAGACGTACAGAGTCTAGCTTATGGAGCAATTTGGAACTAAAAAGAAATTTAAAATGTCTGACTGGCAGCCAATGAAGATCAACTAATACATGGTGATGGGTAACTAGATTTGATGCAAGTTATGGGAACAAAAACAGAAATTGCCAGAAAAGCTCAGTAGATCTGGCAGCATCTATGGAAAGAAATCAGAGTTAACATTTCAGGTCCAGTGACCTTTCTTCAGAACAGTTTGAATAGTCAAGTCTAGAGGTAGCAAATGAAGTTAATATTTCCCATGAAGCTACATAAGTGGAAACGGTACTTGGCTGGACAGAAAAATCAAGAGACACAAATTGTATTGCCAGGCCGAAGACTTGGCACATTAATAATTTGAATACAGTGAACTCTCTGGTCTCCATATATTAACTTTTATTTTAACTTAACAGCTCATTATTGAAACTGAGTCTCAAATGTCTTCAGATATTTATCAGGGATTGAAGATTACATTCATCCCAGTCAATACATGTATGTATGCATTTCCTGTATTTTTAATCACTTATCTCAGTTGCAGGTTCTCACAAGTGACTTTATTTTAACCAATTTCAAAAGCCTAACATTTTAAATTACATTGTAATCACAAATAAGAGTACAAAGCTCAAGCAAGTTACATCAGATCAGTATTTGGCTCAACTATCCATTTTAATTGGTGAGCACTTTCAAGGTGAACAGAGAGGTGACACTAAGCGTAGCAGAAAAGACAGCAACACAGTGAGAAAAGAGAGGGCAATAAAAGCACTTACCTGTTTTCAACAATTATTTTAGTTAACAGATTCTTCAGGTTTTGATGAAAGCTATCAGGAAAGAGTGGGAGAATCTCTTCAGCTGAAGTCAGTCCTTGAAATACAACTTGCCGTGTAAAGCCATGGAGGGAGCAGATCAACTGCAGGGAGAAAACGAATTGGAACAGAAATGAGACACGTTTGCTTTGGGAACAAATACTGTTAACCCCACTGAGGATAAATTGGGCATGTCATAGAGCTGTACAGCACAGAAACAGATCCTTCAGTCCAACTCATTCATGCTGACCAGATATCATAAATTAATCTATT